ATTCAAACCCTGGTCTCCTGACTCAGGATTCAGTCCTCTTTCCTTAGAAAAATATCTGCTATTTGGAATTTTTCACAGGCTCCAATATTCTCTCAGTTGGCAGCAAATCAAACGTAGGTGAGATAAGTGCCCTTGTGCTACTCTTTAAGGATGTGCATAAATATGCACAGCTGTCCCTGCACGCTTTTATATACCCTGAAGAATAGGGCTGAATATTAATACCACAGTTGGATTTATAACATCCTTTTCTTCTGGAAACACCCACCACTTTTGGAACTTAGGTTGAGAGCAGAGTAGCTACCACTGTATTTACCATAATATGACTACCCTTCTGGCATGACCAAAGGGATGGGGATCTTGTCTTTCCCGGGGGAGCAAGGACCCTTGAGGATTCAGCAATCTCCCCTGGATAGCGTCTGTTGTTTCTGGAACCACACGCATGCTTTGGACTCACAGGCTCCTTTCTTTTTCATTTAATATTCAAATGCCAAGAACAATCCTTCATAGACACGCCTCACCTACCAGAAGCAAGGAGCAGGTCCTGGGTGCATGGAAGTGTGAGAATGCACATGAGCAATACCCCTTTCAAAGGGAATCCATCCCCTGACTGGTTCATTAAAATGTGTAGGAACAATGTGACCAGACTATATAATTATTCTCTCATGAGGAAGGCCTGGAGGCAAAGAAATGCTGCCAACTGTAAAGACAAATACTTTCCCCCAGCTGTTTATCATGCTTCTTGGACATCATAAACTTGGAAAGCTGGGGGCTATAATTAATCTCTAGCAAATCAGCAAGGTCCTTGTATATCCCAACTCTTCTGTAGGCTTGGATAATTACATAAAGTGTTTTTCTTGGGACAGGCAAGCAAATGACTGTATTTCTTTCCCTTCCTCTCTCCCTCTGCTCCTTATTTAAGTGGCCAACTTGCCTCCCCAAAGAAATCTACTTTATACAACTCTCCATATCCTTAGTTTCTACCTTCTTGGTGCAGTTAGAGACCATAACCACTCTGTTTGATATCAGCTTGATCATTTGCACCCTTCTGCCTCATGTAGATAGTTTGGAAACAGAAGGAACTCTCACTGTTCCCCCAAAAAGGTCCACTGGATTCAGAGTATGGGTTCAAGTCTGGCTCTATCTGGGCCTTAGCTTCCTTATCTAAAAATATGAGGGGTAGACTAAATATCTCTTCCATCTCTACATTCTATAATCCTATAAACCGTAACTTGGGACAAGTCTGACCCTCAGCAAAATTCTGAAGCAGACAAAATTTACATCCTCCCGCTTCCCCTTTTAGGGATCTTCTCTTTTCTTTCTTGTCCCTACTTCTTCTCCATGGAAAAAATGATCAGATAAACTAGTAAGGTGTTAGCTGATAAAGTCTTAAGGTTCCTGGAATATTTGCATTTTAACATAAGACTCTAGAGAGGCCAATGTTTTTTTGTTTTGTTTTAGAGACAACTGAATATATCTCTAATGGTAGAATTTAGACTGATGGCACACTATTAGGGCAGACATCTTGGTAGTAGAGGCCTTTATGTCATATCTCCTGTCAATCACATAAGTGGCCATGCATTTGTAAAGTGAGCCCTCCTTGGGACCTGGAGAAGGTTGTATAATACAAATGGAAAGAATGCTGGATTTAGCATTAGAGCACCTAGGTTCAAATCCTGGCTCTGCTACCGATTACCCATATAGCCTTGAGCAAGTCATTTCCTTTCCTGTGTTCAGTTTCCTTCTCTATAAAATGAGGAGATTGAGCTAGATGCTTTTTGCAAAATCTTCTCTGCTCTAGGAATAAGGGATGCTATGGCTACTTCCACCATTTAACAGTGTCGGCATTAGAACCCTGAATTGGACCACATCCCTCTGCCATTGTGGGGAACAGGGGATTTTATCAAGCTCACATTTCCTCAGGCACACTGTGTATATCCCTGTTCTACTACAGAAGGCTGTCAATCATTTCAATTTATCTTGGCCTTTGTTGCCACCCTAATGTCAAGGTGTTCCAGCACAGTGCCTTGTGTTCCTTTATCTTAATGGGAAAATGCTCTGGACTGTGAATTTGTGGACACTCAAAAAAGGAAAATGACTATGCTTCTGTGCAGCTTCTTGCAGAGTAACTATTATTGTCCAGGGCTTGAGTCCTAAAGGAGGAAAGAACTATAGAATGGCTTCTGTGACTTGTGGGCTGTCTGTGTGTCAGGGTGAAAACCCAGATTGCCAGCTAGGGACTGGTGAATTAAACTTATTCAGCTCTCCCCTATCAGAAGTCTATCCAGCATGGTGTACACACACCAATCAATGCTGGGAGGGGCATGACTGGTTCTGCCTAAGGATATCCAGAAACTGGAGATGGGAATATGATCTAGAGCAAAGCAGCAGGAACAAGACAAACACAGTCATAGGGATCATAGGATTTAAAGCAGGAAGGTACCTTAGGGAACATCTAATCCAATTTCTCCCTTATTTTACAAGAGAAGGGAACTGAGACCCAAGGAGATTTAGTGCCTTGGTTCAAAGTCATACAGGTAGTAAGAAGCAGAGGCAGGGTTCTAACCAGGTTCTCTAGTTTCCATTATAATATGCTGCCAAGAGACAAAGGGCAAGCTCCTAGAACAGGGAGATTGAATTTAGCATGGTAGATTTGCAGTTGAAAGGGATCTTAGAGGTCAGCTAGTCCAACTCTCTCATCTTCTACATGAGGAAACAGAAATTTAATGGCTTGCCCAAGGTTACATAGGTAACAAATGCAGTAGGATTTGAACATAGGTCTTCTGTCTCCATAGTCAGTGCTCTTTCCTCCATCTCAGTTTGGGGCTTCTCACTTTCCAGGGTCTATCATAATGATATCCCAATCCACCTGCTTCCAAGAAATAAATCTAAGCCTAGAAACCATCAGATGAAAAGCTAGGAGGCAGCTTCTCTGAGGCTTCCTGTCCAGTGTCCTTCACATCTGTCCTGGGAGGGTCTATTATCAGGATTTTGTATTCCCATTCCATTCAATAAGTATTTATTATATGTCTACTATGCGTCAGGCACTGTAACAGACAATGGGGATACAAAACCAGTAATGAAAACAGTCCCAGTCCTTAAAGAGCTTATAGTATATTTGAGAGATGCAACATATTCACAGAGAAGTAAATAAAATCTATATGCAAAGTAATTTTGGAAGGGGAGGTGAAATACTAACCACAGTGTGAGTGGGGATCAAGAAATTCCTCTTGGAGGATATGGCACACTGCATGTCAAGAAGGGCAGCAATATGAAATGTCTGGAAAGATGAGCTGGAGCAAGACTGAAAATGCCAGAGAGCTTTTATTTTATTCTGACACAATAGGGAGTGCCTATAGTTTCTTGAGTAGGAGAATAACAAAATTAGACCTCTGCTTTAGGAAAATCCATTAGGGAGTTATGCAGAGGATGAACTGGGGGGAGATTGGAGGGAAAGAGAGAGAGAGAGAGAGAGAGAGAGAGAGAGAGAGAGAGAGAGAGATCATTTAGGAAATTAACGCAGTGAATGGTCCAGAAAAGAGGTGATAAAGGCTTAAACTAGAGTGGAGGATGTATGAATGGAGGACATGGCAGGGATATGAGAGATATGGAGGAGGACCTGGCAATTGATTTTGTTTACGGGGTAAGGAAGAGAGAAGCTGATGGCAAACTTGATTGTGATCCTAGGTAACTGGAAGGATGATTGTGCTCTTGTCAGAAATAGGGAAGTTAGCTGGGAAGACTTAGATGAACTGAAGTAGGGTGAGGTGAGCAGAACCAGGAGGACATTGTGCATGATAACAACAATTTTATAGGATGATCAACTGTGTGTGACTAGGATATTCTGATCAATGCAATGATCCAAATGCAATTCCAAAGAAATTATAAAGAAAAATGCTATCCACCTCCAGAGAGAGAACTGAGTCTGAGTGCAGATTGAAGCATTTTTTTTCACTTTATTTTCTTGTCTTTTTTTTTTCAACATGGCTAATATGGAAATATGTTTTGCATGATTTTGCACATATAATTGATATCACATTTCTTGCCTTCTCAATGGGTGAGGGCTGGGTGGATGAGAGGGAGAGAATTCGGAACTCAAAAATTAAAAAAAAAAAGAATGTTAAAAATAAACAAATAATGCATTTATTTAAAAATAGGGAAGTTATGAAGATGGGGTGGGTTTTGGGTTAAACATACTGTGTTGTAATTTGATTCTAATCACAGGGACTCATTTGGAGTTTGAGAACTCCCATTCCTCCCTTTCAGTTATTTATATTTTCATATGCCCTTAGAATCTATAGTTCTAGTATTCCATTAGGAGGAGAATTCTTGCCCTGAGACAGTATTGTATACTAGAATAAAGACTGGACTGTAAGTAAAGATGCCTGCGTTGTAGTTCCAGCTCTTCTCTGAACAAGCTGTGTGTCCGAGCAAGTCCGGCATGACTTGACCGTTTTCTTTCCCTATAAAGTGAGGGTGATGAACTAGATAATCTATAAGATTCCTTGTAACTCTAAAATTCTATGATTTTATGGTTCCTATATGCATCCTTTCCTGGGTGTTCACATATTTCCTAAGCCCACTTTTCACCAGTTAGATGTGTAGTTGATACCTAGAGGAACTGAGACACTGTCCAAGGTCATCAGGGCCCCAGGGATCATAGCTCCTAGTCCCCTCTTTCTGGCTGCTCAGATCACAGAAGCAAGCAACCGAACTCATTAGCATCTCTCTCTTCTGGACAACCCCAGGAAAGCTGAGTTAATAAGGAAGCATTGCTGCCTGCCCCTTTCCAGCTTCGGCTCTGACTCACCCGCACTAGGGAGTTCCAGAGACATAACCCCAGAGGATGAGTGGAGAGGGAAGGGTGGGGAAAGAGGTCGAGGCCTGAATTGACAGCCCTAAGGGCAGGCAACTCCCTCCTTCGATGGGAGGAGTCCTGCAGCTGAAGCCAGAGACGAGGAAGTGCCGAGAACCAACACCAGTCCAGCGGCAGCTTTTACAGACAGCAGCAGCAGCACGGGTGAAAGCGGACTCCTGCCGTTCGGAGATGTAAAATAAAATGGGTTAGTAATTTTCATATTCAAAATTAATTGGGAAAAAAATCTAATCGTCTCTAACATGGATAGCTGCCTTGGTGCGACTTGTAGATAAATGCTTTTTTGGGTTTTGTTTTTGGACTGGGTCACCGGAGTCATAGAGTGTTGCATAGAATAGTAATTCTGTCTGTCATGTCCTTTGGGTGACCTAATTAGGTCTCAGCAGTCACAGAGGTGGTTTGACCTGGGAGTGGTTTCAGCTGTAACCAGGATAGCGGCACCCGGGGGTGTGTGCATTTGGAGTTAGCTTTAGATAGATTCCCTGGTGTGGTGGGGACCTTCAGAGGTCATCCTGTCCATCCCTGGGCTTCTATATCCCAGATCCCCTTCCCCCAATCCCACTCCCCCATCCCCCAAGTCATCTCATAGAGATGGCAGTCTGCCCTCTTCTTAAAATACCTCTGAGGAAGGAGATTCCAGTCTCCCACATCATTCCTTCCAGAGTCTCACACACCTCGCTGTGAGTTGATTCCTTTCCTCTGCAGGTCTGAGAGTGTATTGACCTATATTCACAGCCCTTTATTGGAAGAGATTCTAATTGTCCTCCAGGCGGTAGGCTGGTAGGGGCAGGCAGTTCTCTGATTTTTCTGGTTGTTTAAAGCAGGAAAGAATGCTGGATTTAAGGTCATAGGACCAGGGTTCAAATCCTGGCTCTGCCTCTTACTACATGTATGCTCTTGTTGGAGACATTCAACTTTTCTGGGCCTCAGTTGCTCATCTGCAATCTGAGTATATTGAACTATATCACATCTAAGATCCCTTTCAGTCCCAAATGTAAGATCCTAACATCCATTAGTTGGAGGGTGTGCAAAACCAAACTTTCTGAGATTTCAGAGTACCAGGTCAAGATCGCAGTCTTAGAAGTTAGGGGTATGACTTGAGTCAGCTGGGAAACTTGACTGCCACTCCAAAGAGACATACATGTCTTTTCTTCCGTCTACTGAAGCAGAGAGCAGAGAAATTATCTAGGGAATTGGATCAATATAGATAGCCAATCTGAATAATTCAGTCATTCCTTCCCCCAAAACTCACCTCTTTTATCCCCTGTGGGAGATTTCCATCCCAAAATCATCCATAAAATTGCTTCAATTTACTTTGCCTGTGAGTCCTTTGACTTGGGGGATGGGGAATTTAAAGGGTGCTTATCAGACTCAGATTCCAAAATTTCCTTCTTTGAATGAATGAGTAAAAGGAAAAAAAGCATTTATTAAGTGCCTACTTTGGGGCAGCCAGGTGACTCAGGAAATAGAGTGTCAGGTTTGAAGTCAGAAAGACTCATCTTCATGAGTTCAAATGTGACGTCAGACACTTACTAGCTGTGTGACCTTGGACAAATCACTTAACCCAATTTACCTCAGTTTCCTCATCTGAAAAATGAGCTGGAGAAGGAAATGGCAAACCATTCCAGTGTCTTTGACAAGAAAACCCCAAATGGGGTCACAAAAAGTCAGACAAACAACTAAAAAACAACTGAACAACAACAAAAATGGTCAAAGTGCTAGAGATACAAATAGAAAAGCAAGATAGTCCTTGCTGTCAAGGAACGTACATTTTAATGAGAGACAACATATACAAAAAGTTTCAGCTGCAAGTCGGAGGGACACCAAACTTGAAAAAGAGACCCATTAACCAAATGTCACTTTGTTGGGTTTGACATTTAGTAGCCTGCAAGAGAGAGATTTTTCTCTGGATAATAAGAATTGTCCTTAAAAATATTTTATGCTGATCTAAGGTATCATTTGGGTTACTGAATGGGCCCAAAACATGTGGGCCTCAGGGAATATTTGCCAAAGTAAATAAAGAACCTAACCCTTGACTACATGATGATCTACAATCTGACCGGCAATACCAAATGGTACATTCACTTCCACACCCCTCACGTGACCGAGTTAAGATTCTTCTTTATTATTTTATTTTTTAAGAAGTCTGGGAATGGTTGTTATTGTTGAGATGAAAACTGTAGATCACAAAATAACAGATTTAGAGCAGGAAGGGATCCTTACATGTTATCTAGTTCATCCTCTCCGTTTCACAGATGAGGAGGAAACAGGCCAGAGAGAGGAAACTACTTGTGCAAGGTCACATAGGTATCACAGGATTAGAATCAAAGGATATTAAAGTCATTAGGGAACTCAGTGGCCACCTAGGTCTTTTGTCACTTTTTATATCACCAGGGCTTATGCCTGGAATACCAGAGGCACTTGATAAATGTTTATTGACTGGTTGGTTGGACATTCTCCTGTTTGGCAATATCCTGGGGCACACAGAACTAAACACAATAGTCCAGAAATGATCTAGGGCAGAGTATAACAAAGTTATAGTCATGTTGATTCAAATCAGCAATCTTTTATTAAACTGTGCTAACCTGTTAATTGTTGAAAGCTGTGTTTCTCTTAATGGAACCTAAAACTGGGCTAGCTTTTCCTTCTTTTTTTTTTTTTTGGTTGTCGTATTACATTGTTGACTCACTGTTGGATTTGCAGTGGTTTTTGGTTTTATTTTTTCTTTCAGACAAATTGTCTAACCATGCTTTTTCACATCTTGTACTGGTCAAGTCAATTTTTTGAACTATGGCACTATGGCATTATGTGCCAGGTCCTGGGCATGCAGATTAAAAATTTCATTCCAGTAAGGGAAGACAATACATATCAGGGAATGGTGGCTAAGGAGATCTGTTTTGGTTTAGGAAGTTGAAAGGATGGTGAATAGAGACCTAGGACAATTGGTGAATCAGTCCTTTCCAAGAATAATAGTGCTGATTTGATTTCTAAGCCCATTGGTTGGTTGTTGGATCATTTGATAGGTCAGTTAGTTGGTCAGTCAGTGAGTATTTATTAATCACTTATTATTTGACCAGTCCCTTAGGACTGGTAACACAAATACAAAGAATGAAACAATCCCTACTCTCAGAGATCTTTCTTTGCAATGAAAGGGAAGAGGTGAAGAAGGATAGTAGTTGTCCTTAGTTTTCAAAGAGGATCAAAATAACATGACTATGTTGGGGTCAAGGTATAGTGTGTCTGACTGTGACTGATCATACCAATATGACCTTGGAAGGCTCTACCACAGATCAGGCAGAAATAGTCCATGAAGAAGCATAACAAGTACATAAATATATATATATATATTTACTCTAGTTATTCTGTGTATGTATATGTATACATACATAGAATAACTAGAGAGTAAATACAAATAAATGAAAGGTACTAAATGAAAAACAGTTATGGTGGGAGGTATTAGCAGTTGGGAATCAGGAAAGGCTTCCTGTGGGAGGTAGTGCTTGAACTTCATCTTGGAAGAAGGAAATCTATGAGGCGGACAGAAGTCTTGAAGATGGAATTTATTTCAGATATGGGAGATAGCCAGTGCAAAGATATGGAGATCAGAGACAGAGTATACTGTGTGAGGAGCAGAGAGAAAGCCAATTTGGCTGGATGACAGAATGTGTGAGAGAGAGTAATCTTTCCAGCAAGGCTGGGAAGATAGGCTGGGTCCAGGTCGTAAAGTCCAGGACTTTAAAAGCTAAACAGAGGAGTATGTACTTTATCTTAAAAGTAATAGGGAGCCCCTGGCAATTAGCGAGTAGGGGAATGACATGTGCTTAAGGAAAATAATTGTGTCAGCTACAAAGAAGATAGACTAGAGTAGGAAGAAATAAGTCAGGAAGACAAATTAGGATAGTCCTGAAATAGCCCTGAACTAAGGAGAAAGCAGTAAATAGATTGGGATTGATGAGAGAGGATCTCTTATCTCCTCTGAGAAGAGGATTAGTGCCTTCCACTCAATGATGAACATTCTGACATTTTGTCATAGCCATCATTCACTGATTAGGAACTTCTATAGGTCATCCTCCAAAACCCATTTCCAGTCTCCAGCTCCTGATTCCTTATTTCCATAACCCTGAATCCTGTCACCCTAAAATCCCAACCAAACATCATTCACTCCTTCCCCTGTGTCCTCTGGAATGCCTGTTCCATAGGCAACAAACTTCCCTTCAACCTAGATTCCTTTCCCACTTCTTTCATCTTCTATATGGCTCCCCACAATGACACAGCTTCTTTGGCCACCCTTTCCCATACTGGCTGCACCTTCATTCATTCCCCTTGGCTCATTGGTTGAGGTCAGGGAGTTGAAATACTCCTTACTCTCCACTGCCGTTTCCAGGTTCTCTCCCTACCTCCATCACTCAATAACTTCTCCTCCTTTGAAGTACGTGCTATTTATATCTACCATTCAGTCAAAATCTTGGTAGCTATTGTTTACAGACCTCCGGGTCATTTCCTTTCCTCCCTCAATGATTTCAGGACCTAGCTCACAATTTTTCTCTCTTCCTCAACTCCTTTCGTGCTAGGAGACTTCAGAATGCAAGTTGACTCTCCCTCAAACACCTTAACCATTCAGTTCCTCAACCTATTCATTTCTCATCACCTACTCTTCCACCCCACCTCAGCCCCACACAGACGGTCATGCCCTCGATCTTAACGTCCCTCGCAAAGACAATGCCTCCGTGTTAAAGAATTCCAAAGTCCCCTTACCTGACTGTAACCTATTGGCTCTTCCTCTGCTTCTTACCAAACCTTAGTCTTTGTCTATATCACAACCTCTCATCCCTTGACCTCTCGTTTTTCTCCCATGCCGCGTTCTCTACACTGTTCACTCTCGGCTTTTGTATCCATTTTGACCCTTTTGTGAACCAGTTTAACTCTACGCTGTCTTCTTCTCTTGAATCCTTGGCCTCCTTATCATATCATTGACCTTCCCTGCCAAGAATCAGCCTGGAATGACTCCCACCATCTGCTATCTTCACTCATACACGTGTGTTGCCCCATGTAGGTGGAGAAAATCAAACAGCCATTCCTACTGAGTACATTATATTTTACTTTACACAACTTTAAGTGGGCTCTCACTGCTGCTGGACAATCTTTCTGCACTTCCCCAATCAGCTTACTATCCCACTTTCAAAATCA